CCTCTTTTCCCATCTACGATACCACGGCATAGCGAGGGAAAATAATATCGTCTGCTACAAGAACAATGAAGAGCCAAAAAACAAATAGACCACTGTTGCCGAGACTACAACAACAGTGAAGTCATATCAGTCCCACTGCTTGACGGACTGGACAAGAAGTCTGTCGTCGACTGCAAAAACGAACACCCAAAAAGAACCCGTCCGCGAAGGAAAACCCTCCGAAGCAATCGCGAGCACAAGCGGAGGATCCAAGCGATGTTAATCAGTGATGGTGGAACACAACTTCAACGGGACAAACAGGCAGGCGGTAGGCAGGATCACATGTGTTTCATTCACTCCGCCAGCGCATTGCGGAGCTCGTGAGCCTCGCGCGTGGAAGTCAACATCGACACTGGCTGGGGGGGGGCGATGAATCCCCAGGTCCACTCGGCGCCTCACCCCGTTCGCGTCGACCTCCCACAACAAATTCTCGTCGAACTTGATACCTGCATCAAGCAGGATGTTGTGGATAATGCTGACTGCCGTGAACTGCTGCGGCAGACTGTCGAGGTTCGTCTTGTGCATCCGCAGGAAGAGCCTCCACATCCCCTTCAACCTCCCAAACGCCCTCTCCACGGCCCCTCTTGCGACCTTCTGCTTTGTGTCGAACCTTTCCTCGTCCGGGTGCTGATTGATTCCTCCATATGGCACGACTACCCATTCAGAAGGAGGATACCTGATGTCGCCCAAGATGTATCCGTTCGTCCTTACCCCTCCCGGCAGCGTGACGGGCGGCCCAAGAAACAGCAATCCCTCTTCCGCGCGCCTCGATAGACTTGACAGCTGGATCACCTTAATGTCGTGGCAGCTCCCCGGTTATCCAACGAACACGTCAAGCACGCGCAGATCCAGGCCCACCACCACCTGCGCAATGACGGAGAAACGGTGCTTGCGGTCGAAGTAGTTCTCGCTCGGCGTGTTCGCCGGCTTGTCCACGTAGATGTGTGTGCAGTCAACTGCGCCATGGCAGTTTGGAAAGCCGTTCTCCAGAAACACCCATAGCACGACATGTTTCCGCACCCCCGTCGGCCGCGATATCTTGTCCCCATACACCCTCAACATAGCGGCTGTCACGTCGCGCACGGCTCGAACTCCAGAAGTTCTGCCCATGCCGAAGGATGATGTGCTGTTTTCATAAGACTCTCCTGTAGCCCACCTGTACAGCGCGTACACGACGATCTGGTCCGGCTGGAGTGGCTCCCTGTAAAACGTCACCTGCCGCTGCACATGAGGCGAACAGGCTTCGCTGATCTCCATGAACAGTCTCCTCGACATACGGAGCTTTTTCCGGAAGTAGTCGTCTGTCGCATCATCGTACACCCGCAAATCCTCCCAAGTCCCGCCAGCTCTCCGCCTCATCCACCAAAGTGGCGTCGCCCGAGGAAGCAAACCGCACCCGATTGCAGCGCACAGTTGTACCATGGCCTCGGATGTGGTGACGCAGTCCGGGGCGTCCAACACCCTCTGCAGAAGAAGCCTCTGCCGCCGCCTCGAAAGCGCTGCCTTCATGCGCCCGGCCGCACTTTCCACTTGGAAACGACGGACGACAGCAAACGCAGCCACCACAACAGCCGTCTTCTCCGTCGTCGACAGCACAGCAGGGCCATCGCCATCGCAGCCCTCCATTACGCCCTTCCAACATGGAAAACAACGTCCGCCGCCACCCACTTTGGTGTACCTCTGCCACCACGATTGAACACGCCTGCAACCAGGTCAGGAAGACAGCCCTGCCCAACGATGTTCCGCCCCGATTGGAGCGTCCGCCCACCGTCGCTGAAAAACGCAACCACCACGCGCCTCCACGTGGCGAACGCAACTGCCGATCGGACGTCTTTGTTTTGCCGCGTCGACCACACTTGAGACATTAGCAGTGCAGTGCCGCTGAAATACGTAACGCGATGCCCTGCAAGGCATGGACTGCCCCCTGGCCGACCCGCCTGTGCGCCTCCACCACGTCGCTCCGCAAGAAGAAAATCCGAATTTCGAATTTCGAAAGGGGTTGTTCCCGCCTTTGCGATTTCCTTTTCCAGGGCCCGTGACATTTTACCGCCGTCCGCCTTGTGGACCACCACGCCTCCTACACAGACATCCAGAATTGGAGGTCGGACATGCCTTTCGCGGCTATGTATAATCTCATGAAACTGGCCGCGGGAGGGCCCAGAGGATTCGTCCTCGAGGCGATTCTCCGAGGACAGGTGGAACGACACCTCCAAAAAAAAAAAAAACTCCGAGGATTCATCCTCGGAGCCCGAGGACGAGCTGAGGAGTGTCGAACGCCCTTAGTGTCACACTGGATAGGCCACACTCCTATCCGACTGCTAATGGGACCTCGCCGCAGGGGTCTGGTCCCACCTACCGTTGTCGAGTTTAGAAAACTTAATGGTGTGACGCCATTTTGACATTAATAAATTCGCAACAAGAAATTAAAAAGCTGAAAAAAAAAACGTTAGAAACAGCTTTCCTCCTTATTTTTGATAACGGAACTCGGAGACATTAAACATTTACGGAACAGTCGGAGTGAATGTCTCCGTGAAAAAGGGATACTCCCCGTGTTGAGGGGACAAGAGGTCACCATTTGTTAAATGGATAGGGGGGCTCATTCGACACTCCTCGGGCACGTAAAATCCCAGAGGAAATCATCATTCCACTTATCCTCTGGGAGGAAAACGAAAAAAAAATGTGAAAACATTTCCTCGAGGATTCTTCGGGCTACAGCCATTTCGACGCGTTCCCCAAGGGACATCCCGAGGTCCCTTGGAGGTCGAGCATCCAGAAGAATCGGGCGTCTACGGGAGCTCTCCCGACGCAGTAGCGGGAAAGCGCCTAACAGTCGGCAGATTCGAATACTTCAGCCCGCCCCCGCTCTCCCGATTGCGCAGTGTCTTCCGCAACAGAATACGTTACCCTGCTTTTGTCGGTAGCTGCGATCGGCCGTTTGTGCCACTGACGCTCGCCGTTTCGTGGACGTCCAGGGTTGTCTTCTAGTTGTTGGCGTCATCCACGTGCATTTCATGGCCGACGTCTTTCGGAGGCTGTCGCTACTGGTGCTGGTCGTCCTCCTGCTCCTCCTCTTAGTTGTCTTCCACGTGTGTTTCCTCAGCATCGTTTCACAACGTGGCCGCAGAAGATGGTCTTCAAAGAAGAACGTCAGTATGGAGGGGCGGAAGGGGACGTGCAGGTCTGCAGGGGATCAGGGTGGCGGCCAGTGGGCTGGGCAGAGCCCGTCGAGGAGTTCAAGGCCGACGAGGAGGCGGAGGACAGATGGTCACGGACCGTGCCACTGGGAAGCGGGTCCACCCAGGAGTGGGCGGCTACAGAGGTCTGTGGAAGCCGCGATGGCGGTTATGGCCAGTCGTACACCCAACTCCTCCAGCAGGGGCTGAGTGGCGACGAAGGCGATGGCGACATCAATCTGTCGTTCGGGTTGTGTAGCGGGAGGTCGTCGGCCGACTCACAAATGGTGATCGTCGGCAACCATCCCGACGACGACGGTGGGCAGGTGACGGTTGTGTCGCGGTCATCGAAGTCTCCAACGCCGGTATGGGAGGCGTCGGGGAACAACAGGGATCCTCTTAGGCAGCAATACCAGACGTCGTCTATGTCTTGGGGTGCCTCAGCTCGCCCCCTGTCGATGCAGTCTTCGTCTCCCCTCTCCGCCAGTTCGACTGCAACGCGCCGTCGAGGCGAATGCAGGGAGACTGATTGTGGCATCGACAATGTTGGTGATGCACGCGACGGGAGGGAGGTGTGGGCAGAACAGCGACGGACGCTTCATCCACGGCAGGAGGAATCCATAACTCGGGGGGTGCAGTTACTGCGTGTGGTGGACCACGAAAACGACGACGATGGCGAAGGTGGGGAGGAGGACGCAGGCCGCGTATCGCCTTGCAAGCAAAGCAACATGGGAGGGAGAGGTGGGAAGACGAGGGATTGTGCTCGCAATGGTCGTCGTGGGAAAAAAGCGGTGGGGAAGGGGAGCAATGCCGAAGCTGACGCTGATGCAAAAGGAGGTCGTCAGTTCTTGTCCGTGGACGAAATGATAGCCCTCATCCGGGCTAAACGTGACCAATACGCGCATCTGCAGGGGATGGGTACCGCGTTTGCTCATATAAAGCTGCGAGAATGGAAGTGGTTGGATGTGGAGCAAAGGTTGAAGAAGGTGGGCGTCGACACAGAAAGCACAACGGTGAGGGAAGAAGTGGGACAATTTGATGCCGCAGTTCAAGAAGGTGCATCACTTCCAAGGCTTGTCCGGGAAACAGGACTTCCTCCAATTCTTTGGGAAAGAGAGGTTGTCGAAGGGCTTCGATTTCAACATGGATCGTGCGGTTTACGACGAGATCCTGGGGTCAACCACCAAGAGCCATACCATAAACCCGAAGAATGTCGTCGAAACTGGTGCTCCGGATGGTGTGCGTCTCATGTCCGCCACTTCTGCGGATAATGAATCTGTGGGCGATGGGGATGCTGCTGCATGGCACGATGATGACGACGGGTCGACGAGAGGTTCCTCTCAGACAACGGGAAGCCCTGCCGCTTTCAGCAAGAGGAAAAGCACGAGGCAGCAAACTTTCGAAGCGCTGACGGAATGCATGGAAAAGCACGGGGCTCTGGTGGCGTCGACGATGGAGAGCAACAACAAGCGTCTGTGCTCCATCCAAATTCGGCAGTGCGAGGAGTTGGAAGCGGAGGTCGAAGTGCAAAAAAAACACTACGCAGCATCTGACGAAGTTACTTATGTGTCACGCTCTGTTAAAGATAGCCAAGGCCATCCGCGAGCGTTAGAGTTCCTGCCGCGTGATTTGTCCACCTCGTCGATTTTATCGTCCTCACGACGCGAAAATGAGAGCGATGCCGTCGTCGGTGTATTCGTCGCCTGCCGCGGTTCCCGATTGGCCGTGGTGGCCCGAGAAGTGGGTGGTGGTCCGATTGGGTGGATGACTCCTCTAGTCACATTGGCGTTTGTTCTTTTTTTCTTTTTCTTTTTTTTGGGGGGGGGGTTCTCATAGGCTGCTGCCGTTTGGGGGGGGTGCTTGGTTCCGTTTCGTCTCAGACATGTTAAGGGTATACGTTGGAGACGGGGCTGGGGGTGGGGACGATGTCGGTGGTCATGGTGGTGGACTTTTCCGTGACGGTGATCATCACCATCCCGGATCGGTTGTCATAGGGGTTTTGCAGGAACCTTTCGTTTTCTTTAAATGATCATTCTTTTTTACAAACATGCCAAATCGATGTTCGCATCTGTGAAAGCGAACATGTAATTGTGTTGATTTATATTGTTGACATCAATGTGGTGTTGTCGCTTCCTGTTTTGTTCCGCTTTCATTTCCATTCACGAAAGTTATGGTAAGGGGGACATAACCCGGTCGGGGATGCTTGCTTGCACCGATGGTTGATGACAAAGTGAGGAATGTTCACACACGGCATTGCCCATGTTGGAAGCAGAGATGGCAGTACAAATAACACACAACAACCCCAACTCAATTGTGTACTTTTCATTCGTCCACAAAGAAGAAGACAAGCCACGCAACATTATTCATTTACACGAAAAGTAAGAAACTACATTGTTGTGTCTCGTACAAAGAAAACAGTGGATGAAGACACACTTTTCAAAAAATCAAGGTCTTTTAGGCAACTTCAATCCAGAGTTCCGGAAAACTAAAGACACGATGAAGACTCGACTATTTCACTCAGACACGTCACCCGCGGTGAGACCATACTACACGACAACTACGATCGGCACGTGCACGCGCGTCACATCGCCCCCGTTGACTACGCGTTGGATTGCGCCATCGCCATCAACCCGAGGCGCCGACACCCTCTTGAATGGCGCGCAATGCGAAACAAAATCGGATGAAATCGCCGACACACGCCGCCCCGAGCATGGGAACCCACAGCAAAACAGCCGCCGCTGCTTCAACTCGCCATTTTTGAAAAACGGCCCCGCACACACAACGACACCAACTCAGACGACCACCCCTTCCAGGACAACACGCCTCCTGCGTCGTCTGCTCCGATTTCTTGCCTGCTCCCCGCATCGTTCGCTCCGATTTCTCACCACAGCCACGCCATCGGAATCGCCCGCTCCGCACGCCTGGCCGTGTTCACTGCGCACCCATTCTCTCTGCTAGTGCGTCTTGCAGAATGAGCGCATCCCCTGTCGACGATTCCATACACATCGGCCTCAAGGCCCGCTGCATCCCAAGATCCACCCTGCAACGCACACCGTCCGGCCCGACCTCCCACAGTAGATTGTCATCGAAGGGGATGCCCGCGTCGATGAGTATGTTGTGCAGAATGCAGACGGCGACGAGCTGTTGCGACAACGTCTCCATGTTTGTCTTGTGGGAGCGAAGGACTCCACATCCCCTTCACTCTGCCAAAAACCCTCTCAACTGCTCCCCTCGCCGTCCTCTGCCAGTTGTCGAAGCGCAACTCCTTGTGAGAGACCGCCGTAGGGGACGACTACCCAGTCGGAGGGCGGATAACCGTTGTCCCCTAGCAGATAGTTGTTCGTCCGCACACCGAAAGGCAGCATGACAGGTGGCCCAGTGAAAAGCTCCCTTGCCTCCGCCCGCGCCCATAAACTGGACAGGTGGACGATCCTGACGTCGTGGCAACTTCCCGGATAACCAACGAACACATCCAGCATGCACAAGTTCAAATCGACGATGACCTGCGCCTGGACGAAGAAACGACATTTTCTATCGTAATAGTCTTCCTGGGGCAATTTGCTTGCATGTCGATGAAGATGTGGGTGCAGTTGATGCACCCATGGCAGTTAGGGAAACCCTTGTTAGCGAAAGCGTGCAAGACGACCGCCTTTTGCAGACCCGTCGGCCAAGATATCTTGTCGAGGTACACACTCAACAACACCGCAGTTACATCCCGCATAGCCACCAACCCGGAAGATCTGCCAATGCCAAGGTTGCATGTCCCGCTCTCGTACGTCTCCCCCGACGCCCACATGTACAAAGCGTACGCGACAATGTGGTCAGGTTGGAGGGGCTCCCTATAGAAAGTGACATGCTCAAGGAAGGGAGACAAAGCTTTTGTGATCTCTCGGAACATACGTGGTGACATGCGCAACTTGTCCTTGAAGTAGTCCACCGTCATGTCGTCGCATTGCCGAAGATCCTCCCACGTCCCGCCTGTCCGTCGCTTCATCCACCACCTTGGCGTCGCTCTGGGGAATGTTCCACACCCCATGGCGGAGCACACCTGCAGCACGGCATCACAAATGGCACCACTGTCCTCTCCCTCCACATTCGTGGATTGCAGTGTCCTCTTCCACCATGCGTGAATGGCCGCTCTCATCCTCCCCTCGCCCCTCTGCAATTGACACCGGAAGAGGATGGCGTTCACAGCCGCTGCCACCGCCGTGCTCTCCGCCTTGCTCAGTGTGTGACGTCCCGGCCCCCGGTTCATGGCCATCGCCGAAACTGGTATTGTCAACGTGGGCGTCGCCAAGTGCAAAAGACTCCACGTGGGGCAGGCCGCACAATAGCGCTGCTGCGAGTGACAACCTCAGTGCACAGCGTACACGTCGACGATCAAGCTCGCCTGCGAAGACGACAACAACGTCGATCGTGTGATGGCGTTTCTGCTGCTTCGGACGCGTACATGTACGCTCGGTGTGCCCACCGACACGCAGCCGCCAGCCCGTACCGAAACGCTTCCGTCGAGGAACGTTGCTGCCGTCATCCGCAAGGGACACCCACAGTACTGGACGGTCACTTGCGGAAATTCGATTTTCGAATTTCGAACCCAGGACTGCGCGCCTTTTTCGTGCCATTTTTCTTTTCCGCCGCCAACTTCCAATTTCATGACGGCTGCCCGAGCTGGACCAACGATGTCAGCACGGACACACCTTGATGGACCAACTGCCCCTCCCCCCCCCGCGTCCGCTCGTCGATATATGAAACTGGCCGCGGAAGGCCCAGAGGACGATTCCGAGGATGAGTGGAACGACGGCACGAATTTCCTCCGGCGACGACTGGAGACTTTCCTCGGGCCCTTAGGACGGCCCGAGGAGTGTCGAACGAGCCCCAGGAATATTGTGGATGGCCAAATGGAACTCTAACAGCTGCGTTTGGCTCTCTGGCATGAAGCTCGTTTCCTTCTTTGGGCAATGAATGCATTTGGCCATCCACGTTGTTCCTGTCCATTTTACAAATGGTGACCTCCTGTCCCCTCAACACGGGGAGTATCCCTTTTTCACGGAGACATTCACTCCGACTGTTCCATAAATGTTTAATTTCTCCGAGTTACGTTATCAAAAATAACTGCAGTTGAGAAATATACCCTACCTTCCGTAGGGTAGTTTTCTCAATGGAAAATGGTTTCCCACCCAAACCAAAAGGGCCAAAGCATACTACAAAACGGATTTCACGTCAAAGAAAAATTCTACAAAAAGATAAAATTTGTCAGGTTATTCTCCTGTATTTCGGTACCATTAGATCGCAATACAACAATGGCAGAGCTCTGTCCCACCATGCCACACGTGATGGAAAGCTCAACGTTGAGAAAACTCAACGGGTGGGACCAGACCCCAGAACGGTCGGTGTGTGAGGATGTCGTGAGTATTTCCTGCGCGTCCTCGCGATGAGAGAAATGACTAGTACATCATTTAGAGCATGAGGAAAAGGAAAAAAGGACGTTGACGTGTGCTGGGCTGACTCTGAATGCAGAGGGGATTGACAGACATCCCACTAAGGGTTTCGCCACACCAATGTCGAAAACTGCATGTTTAACATTTTCTCCTCGCCACACATCATGTCGAAATCCGAGATGCAAAAAAAATTAAGGAGCTGTCAGGGAAAGGGTTTCCAGTCTTTCGACACCTCTTGTCGAGAAGGGCTCGTTTCCACTCCAGGCCTGCAAGTTGGACATTTTCAACAATCCTCCGATGGGATGTAGAATTATTGTCCAAATGTCGAAAAAGAGAACACACCAACGCTTGTCCTATCTTCACCCCAGTTTGTCTGTTTTGTGCATAGACTTGTGAGTTCTTCACTTGGACATGCTGTGTGGCGAAGAGGCTTTTTCTGTCGAAAGAGGGAATGTCAAAAATTTCTTGACATATGTCGAATTTCGTGATGTTGCGACATTGGTGTGGCGAGGCCCTAAGTTACTAACAATGTGAAACCTTGCTTCTTAATAGCTCACCCATCCCGGTACTATGTCGGTACAACATCGCTTGGATCCCAAGTCCCGATGGGGTAGTGTGCCTATTCGTTGTCGTGTGGACGTCCCTTTGTAGATGACACTCAATTCAAACGCCCCGTTTGATTAGCGGGGAGCTGCACGAGCTGAGAATCGGACCTAACACACTTGTCCATCCATTCTGGCGGGCACAAGGACCGATCGATGAGCATTGGAGCGTTCGAATAAGGGCTTCGCCACACGGATGTCGAAACATCACGAAATTCGACATATGTCAGAAAATTTTCGTCATGCCCTCTTTCGAGAGAAATACCCTCTTCTCCACACAGCATGCCGAAGTGAAGAACTCACAAGTCCTACACACAAAAGAGGCAAACTGGGGTGAAGATAGGACAAGCATTGGTGCGTTCTCTTTTTCGACATTCGGGCAAGAATTTGACATCCCATCCGAGGACTATTGAAAATGTCCAAGTTGCAGGCTGGGAAACGAGCCCTTCTCAACAGAAGGTGTCGAAACCCTTTCCCTGACAGCTCCTGAATTTTTTTGGCATCTCGGATTTCGACATGCTGTGTGGCGAGGAGAAAATGTCGAAAAAGTAGTTTTCGACATTGGTGTGGCAAGACCCTAATTGGTGGAAAGCGTCCACGCCAAAACCTTTTTTTTTTCTTTTTTTTTTTCGAGAATACCAAAACCTTTTCTTTTTTTTTTCTTTTTTGCCGAAACCTTTTTGGTTTTGGGCGCCTGAAGGTCTTAAGTAAGCAGAGCTTACACTGACAATTGATGGATACGACAACAACTCAAAATATTCACTCAACACGCTAGAGAGCAAACAAGAACTGGGACTAGAGGAAAGATCAGAAGGAGAAAAGGAATGAGAAAAAAAGGAAGGACAACGACGACTCATGTCCTGAACTCGACTTGGTATTGAAAGATAAAACATGAGGCACTGGTATGGCGTATAGCCCTACCGGTTTTACCTGGCCGCCAAACCAGGATCATCAGGGGCCTTGAAGTCGGTACGACGAACTACAGTAGTCGATCCTACTTATAACAGCAAGGTGCCTGAGAAGACTGTCTAACTCACCAAGTTTGTTCCATACAAGTCGCGCCACAGCGGTACCAAAGAAAAACAAAAAACCCAAAGCGGGCCAAAAGAAATATTTGAATACGTCCACTCCCACCGTCTTCATACAGTGCATGTACTTTCATATAGTTCCGACCATAAAAAAAAACAGCCTTAAAAAAAAAAAACTAAAATGCAGAAAGACTATCTCAGTTCTCCGACTACCACATGTCAACGCATCATACGAATTGTCATCACCTACTCCATTGACAGGATCGCAGGCAACTTCGGACAATTCATAGCCTCCTTAGCAGAAACAATTCACCAGTCCCAGGTTCAACTCCAAAGTCAAACGTTGATCAAAGACGACCCTACGTAACGCCATGTTCCATACATTTCGTCAACTTGTAGAATACGGAATCCTCCAAACTAAAAGGCGTCAAACAGCTAGTCATAGGTTCTAAGCCAGACACAACATCTTTCCAACAGCAAGTCACCTCACGCTAGTACCGCTAAATCGAAAAAATAGAAGTAACAAGTAAAAAGGAAAAGAAAAAGAGAAGAAGAAAAAGGAAAGAAAAAAGAAAGAAAAAAAAAAGAAAAAAAAAAGAAAAAAAAAAAAACTCAGTCCGACACGTCCTCTAAACAGAGGGTTCAAAAGGCCACCTTCTTGCTGCCCAAAAACCCGTCCGAGCTAGTCAAAACTGGCAGTCACTCCTTCCACAAACCCATGAACTTTTGGTACTACATGCCCAAACCTTTCCTCGTGGGGTAATACTATCATGAATTTAGCGGTGTTTCTGCAACATATGCATTCCCATGTAAAATGGGTCAAGGTTGGTACCCCTAATGTATGGCAGAAGAATAAAACAGTGGTCGATTTGCTTCACATATTTCGAGCATATGCAAGGCGTGAGAAGCATACTTGTTCTTGCCCAAGTGTCGAGAAGACCTTACCTTCGTGTGAATCATGTTTCTATTCGGATTTGTTATTCTTAAATTCTCCCCAGTATTATAAGTAACTCAAAGAATATCACGAAGTCATCTCAACGTTTTTTTATCTCTTACTTAAGGAGGGAAATCATCTTTGTCAAATTGAATATGTTGCTATATTAGAAAGGGCTAGACTCAAGCAAAGGGACAATGGCGCGGTGGCTTGGCATAGCACGAGGCTATGGATATGTAGTGAGCCTTAAGGTCTACTACAATTATAGCCAGTTGCTTCTCTCCTTCCTTTTCCTCTTCTTCTTTTCCCCCCTCTTCTTTGACTTCCTTTTCCTCTTCTTTTACTTCTCCTTTTTTTACTTCCTCTTCTTCTTCTTCTTCTTCTCCTTCCTCGTTTATCCTTTTGTTGTTAAACTATGTTGCTGACACTTTCTCTATGAAGGATATTATACTGCAAAAGAAACATCTTGCTGGTATGGTATGTAGCCCTATCGACCACAACATAGGCGATACCTACATTTATTGTCTGCTCATTTATATATCTGGTATTTCAAAACCTTTCTTGAATAATCCAGTATTTGTAAGCTTTTATACATATGAGGAAAATGTTCTTCGGCAAATCAAAAAAAATTATACAAAGCAGGACCTCGAAAAAGTTGGGAAGTGGGCGAGGAATGGGTCATTTGGTAGGGCATATTGTATTCTCAAGCATAAGGATGTTTCGAGATGAGGCCCCATTTGTCCATCGTCTTCTGAATGCTCCGCTCAGGGAAGCAAGCGGATATCGAAGGTCGCCAATCAGTTGTTATGGGATTTACTGACGGAATCAAACTTCAACTTGAGATTCTTCAGAAGTATGAAGGACTTGGCTAGTAGTTTGCAACGGGTCAACAAGGCGCTGAAGAAAGGGCAGTATGTGGTGAGCGCGTCTTTCGATGTCAAAAAAATATTCTCTAACTTACCCCACTCATCGATCTTTAAGTCTTTGGTTTGGGTTCTTAACTATTAGTCAGGCAAAGGCGTCAAATTTCTGGTTGTTCGGACCCGTGGGAAATTGGCTCGAATGGTGAAGGGTAAGAAGAAAGAAGGGTGGTTGCATTTCGTTTTGAAGCAATCATGAGCTAAATTCAGAATATTTATTAATAGTGATTGCTCCGAGAGATCACATAGGGGAGCGAAGGAGGGCGCAGCGCGGCCGGGAGCGCTGCGCCCCGCCGGCACCAGTACAATCCACGAAGCTAGGGCAAAAGCACGAGATGCGGGATGGCAGGGCGTGGCGACGAGCGGTGATGGGGAGCAGCAATAATCGGCGAGGCGTGGGGGAAGAGGGTGGGGTTGATGGTGACAGGGGGTA